AATTCAGACTTGAGCCTTAAAAAAATCTGTTAATATAGAGTGAACGCCCAACTGAACCCAGGCCTGGCCCGGCCCATAAACAGGTCTAGTGGCAACTAAATAATCAGCAACATTTATGGTCCGTCGCACACAGTTGACTGATTGAGCAAGAATGAAGGTTAGATAAAAAGGTTCTTGCAGGCAGTAATGATATAGATCAACTACCATGGTGGATGGAGATCATCCACCAACAAATACTATCTATCATCACCTTCAATAATAACATATGAAAATTGAAGCTCTTGGACTAAAAGTAGACTACAATAAAGAGCTAAAGCTTCAGCCATGCCATGATGGAACTTTCACATTTAATAGGCAAAGCTCTTGCAAGAAGAAAAGGTGTTTTACACCAGTCATGAAGAAAGAAGTTTGGTCCACACCAAGGATCATGGAAAATATCAACCGACCAACCATATCCAATTACCCATAAAACCACCCCTTGCTTTAAGAATATCTTTTATATATAGAGTTGAAGCTTCACCATGTGTGAGGAACCCCTACAGAAACCTTCTCTTTCCAAAAATGTTTACCATGTAAAGTATTTTGCTCTCAAAATTTGGGTGCGTTAAAAGGTGCCAACCCACCTTCAAATTTAGGTTTCACCATGTGCTCGCATTTGGATACATGAGTCCTTTTTTTGTCTTCCAAATCACCCCACTAGAAATTTATACATAAGACATCAAATTTCTTTAGGCATGAGCTAAGATTTCATCGGTTCTAAAACATAAGACCATCCACCAATATTCCTCCCTCCCTCCTTTTAGAAGGGGCACCCCTAGGTACATCTCATCATCATTCATGTGTCATAAGATTTCTAACTCGATGTTCAGTATTAGAATTGAAGTAAATTGCTGATTTCTGAAAATGTCTAATTGTTGTTTGAGACAATCAATTTGCTTGGAAGAGCAAGCACCTACCAAATAGTAGCATGTCATCCGCAAAAAAAATAAATGATTTAATCGTACCCTTCACCTCCCAAAATGAATTCCCTGTAAACCTCCTTCCTGCATCTTCATAGTAAGCATACGAGATAAGACTTCAGTGCATAAAATATAGAGGTATGGAGATAATGGACATACTTGACGAACCCCTCTAGATGGTTGAAATTAAGTGGCAGGAACACCATTTACCAAAACCACCAATTCCGTTGATGAAATGCATTGGAATATATATATACATATATATATAATGTCACAAAATTTATTAGGAAACCCCAAAGAAGAGATTATTTTCAATAAAAACGACCGGTTTCAGCATAAAGTAACAACAAGTCTTACCTCCTTGCTTCCTCATTGTATGGACCGTTTCTTTTGCAATTACAATATTATCAGTAATTTGTCTTCCTGGAGAGAAGGCATTTTGGTATGGGCCAATAATTTTCTATAAAAGAGGTTTTAGTCTATTTACCATGATTTTGGCAATAAGTTTGTATGACACATTACTCAGCCCAGTGGGGGTCAAAATCTAAGGGAAACTCTACACGGTCAGATTTAGGAATCAGACATACGAGTGTTTGATTTATAGAAGAAAGCGTTTCTGGATTGGAGAAACAATGCTTCACAATATCACTCCCTACTATACCAGGTAGCTTGCACAACAAATCAGTATCTATTTGTGTAAGAACTGAAGGAAGTCCATGAAAACCATCAAGGGTAGGATTGATGGAAGTAAACAACTGGTGAAAATAAGATGCTATATGATATTAGATATTTCTGTTGCAGATTACCATCAGAATTTTTCAGCCAATTTACAGAATTTCTCCTTCGACGATCACCCTAGTAATTTAATGTTAGTTACAATGATTATGGCACCGTTCACATAACCATTGAAACTAAGACAAATCCAGTAGAAGACACTTCATAACTGCTTCCAAATAAAATATCCCATTGGCTCAGTTTGGAAAGAGTATAAATACAAATATATACAGTGTAAATACATAAAAAATAATACAAAATATAAGGTTTTGTACTCTTTCCAAACTGAGCAATTGGAAATTCTTTTACAATGAAGTGTCCTCAATTGTCAACCATGGCCTGTGGAAAATGAGATCATAACAACAAACATTGCTAAATGCAATGGGAACAAAAAGACTATCTACACTAGAAGCAGGAAAACCCGTTTTTCTTTCATATTTCCACTCTTTATTGTATCCGTCCACCAGTTTTGCCTCAAGAAGATAACCTTATCTTCTTTGGTAGAGATATAAAATATATATATATATATATATTTTTTTTGCTTTTTTATTTTAAGACAATAACAAGTTTTGTAATATCGAGTTAAATTTCACAAGATATGACCGAATTTTAATGGGAATTAATGGAGTCCATTCTTCTTCAATTCCCAAATGAATTTTCTCCTAGAAATTTCAAACATTTGGTCTTTCTTTCTCACTCACACAAATTTGAAGTCTTATATGAAAACAAGTTTGAAACAATATCTCCACTCTTATATGAAGTATTTTTTTTTTTTTAATCCAGTAAATTCTTTCCGCAATTTATGATTTAGGGGTTAACCCGGCCCGCACTTTGCACGAGCCACAAGCAGGCCGTGCTGTGCCGATTCAGTTCGGCCCATTTTACAGCTATACGAAAGATGTAGTAAAGTTCTGATCAATTGTACGTATATTCATGTTGAAAAGAAAAGATGAAAATCTAACAGTACCACTCTTTAAGAGATGTGGATCGATGTGGGGATGGAGGCAAGTCTAAATTGAAAGTGATGCCCCTTTAACGTTCATCAGTCTCCACTGTCCTTGAGCCCACCCCACACATTCTGGTTGCATATACTTATCAGTTAATTACTTCCTAATCCACTTCATTAAACTCAAACCTTCCTTCTCGATGGGTCTTGTACAATTCTAACCACAAAATTGATCATATATGACCTATAATAGTGATTTGCATTGATATGGTGTATCTTACATGATTTAATACAGGGGTAAACTCGAACCCCACCCCCACCCACCTTACTATTGAGGTTGTGCCACCGCGTTAAGTCGTTAATGAATGAGAACAACTATATATCAAGAGTTTTATAAATACCCACCTATATATATATATATATATATATATATATCTATACACCCCAAAATCTTACATGTGTATCAAAATAACCAACCTCTTCCGCCTCGGAAAAATGATCATGTGTGCATCATGTACCCCTTTTATATATATCCAAAATTACCCTCTTAATCATCTTCCCTCTCGTCTTTTTGATGAAGGGATTTTTCTTTCAGCACAGGTCTGAGATTTTTCGCGACTCTCACAAGTATGGCTTAAGCCTCTCTACAGACCTGAAAATCAACGATAAATACTTAACGAACCCTGCCACATGTAAAAAAGTAATAGGATCATTTTCCTTTCTCCTTTCACCTTTTAACTTAGCTTAACATGTGAAAATTTGGAGGGTATTACAAGCAAAAACTGTACACACAGTCACACACTTCACAAATATGGGTCTCCAGCCATATTTCATATTTGTGTTGTTTGCTGTTTGGTTTGGTGTACCCAAAAAGAAAAAGCCATATATATATATACCTTGAAAACTTTTCCCTCTAAATTTAACATACAGTCTGTGTGTACTATATATGTACAGAGTTACATCCACCCACCCGGTAGGGGTGGGGTGCAAATCAGATATCCGATTTGAAGAATTTATAATGCATTGGGCCTCAGATTTTGGGTCAGATATTAAAATTTCAACAAAATATCAATCAAACGACCCATGCTCATTGCTCACCCCTAGGTGTGAAGTGCATTCTGTGAGGAGCAGATCTCAATTCTCCTGTCAGTTGCTTCACAGTGTTTTAATTTCTTTGTCCTATTATTTACTTTCCTTTTTTCAGAGTGAATCATCACAGACAAAAAAGGTGCTGCCGGCTGCTTCGCCTTCATACTTGTGTTTTTTTTTCGGATCGTGAATTGGGGAAGAAGAAATCTATGCTGCAGTACCGCACTAGCATGTCCTCTTTGACAGATTCTTTGCTCCGGCATCATTAGGTTCCTCCCGACAGTGTAATATCTCTGAATCCAAAAAACGCAAAAAACACCTTAAGATTGCATAATATCAATAATTTCAACGATAGATGATCAGATCATCAATCTATATATGATCCTACAGTACTGCATTAGATTGGATGGAGACATGGAGTTAGTTGATCAAGCACATTACCTTCGCCGGCCGAAAGGCAAGGCATTACAATGGATTCCCTACTCCCTTCACTTTCACAGTCACAGCAGGACATGAAATATTTAAAATTATTCTCACAACGACCACTTTTTTCTGTATTTCATACTCTGGTTAATTTGTCGACACACACGACACACCTTGTTGTGTTTCAGAAGGACGGAAAAGAGTGCTGTTTTGACACTTGTTGTCCACACCTAGCTTGTACGTGCTCCGCAAAAAAAAAAAAAAAAAAAAAAAGACTTTGAATCCTTTCTGTCTTCCCCACATCAAACCCAAAAACCAAAGAGTCTAGTAGATATATATTCTTATAATACATTCAGACGTAGAAAAAATTTTAGATGATTTTGATACATTCATATATATCTACAATTTATATCCATTCCCATTCAAAAGATACAATTCGTCCTCTGAGAGACATCCCCAGATTCTCTAAGCTAAGGTGGAAACCAAGGATTGGTGAAAGACTGAAACCTGGGACATATAATAATGATCTTGATATAAGAATTAGAGTTAATTAGTACCACCAAACCAATATATCATTTCCAATCTCTTCCCCTTGGGCTTGGGTTTATTATATGTGCTCTGAGCACTCCACGCGAGACATGTTCATGATTAAGCGCACCAATTTGGTGCTATTTAACATCTTTCAAAAATGGGCCACAGATTCTTGGTGGAAGGACGACCTTAGCATTCAATGTGTAATTCTCATGCACATGACCTTGTCCTTTGGTCTCTTCTAATCAGTCTCCATCTATAAATTCGACAGCAAACCCACCCAGATGTACTACCAATATCAGATCACCCATCTTGTTCCTACTCTTCTTTCTACCGTCTCTCTCTCTCTCTCTCTCTCTCTCTCATCACTCAATTGCTCTCGCCCCTGTCCACTGTTGTGTGAGTGAAGAACAGAAGAAGATGAAGGTGGCCTACATCACACTGTGTGTTGTTCTTGTCTTGCTTCTCAACGAAGCACACATCTCTGTGGCGGTAGTATGCAGGCCAACGGAGCTAGCCTCATGCGCTAGTGCAATCACGTCCTCGGCTGCTCCCTCTAAGATGTGTTGCAGCAAGTTGAAGGAACAGAGGCCATGCCTCTGCAAGTATCTCAAGGACCCCAACCTCCAGAAACTCATCAACACTCCAAACGCCAAGAAGGTTGCCAGCACATGTGGAATCCCCTTCCCAAGTTGCTAAACGGGTGCTCCTTAATTAGCTACCACCCTCCATATCTATGGCTACTAGTACTACACTTGAGTCTTTCTGTGGTGTGGAGGCATTGGAAGCTGGAGATAGTCTCATCTTATATCCCAGAGTTAGGGGGGATTTGTCATTTTATGTCTGTTTTACTATGTTCTATATATGTGCTTCTTCTATCTTATAATCTTTTCTCCTAATTAGTGGACTCATGGCGCTATTTAGGGTTAAATGAAGTGCTTTCTGATCTAGTAGAATAAACTGAGGGAGAACAAGCTATTTTATATCTAGAGTTCGTGATTCAATGTTTGAGAGTAGAGAATTTCTTGTCGTCAGTGTGCTAATGCATTGGAATGTAGAAATTCTCCTTGCAATCCTATGGACTTGAGAACTCCAACTTTTCAATGCAAAGGATACTTACTTATCTACAATCCCATTTGGTATTTATTTATTTATTTTTTCTGGTTATTCTGATATTGTTGGCAAGAGTCCAAGATAAGTGGTGAAAGTTAAGAAGAAGATTAATATAACAGATATAAACAATAACCCAAAACAATATGTATGCCTATCTTTAGCAAGGTCCTTCACTGGCGAGGTTTCTCTCACTTTCAGCTAGAGAGGAGTTAAGTTTACACTGGAGACTATCCATGCAGCAAATCTTGAGCCTCTGACCATCTGCTACAAGGCAAAACAAGATTTTAATTCATATTTAGGGTCTGTTTGAATCGTCATTGGAATTGGAATCGGAATCAATACTATTCCTCTTGTCTATTTGGTTAATTCAAATGAGAATTGAAATTCACTGGAATGGATTTTCATTCCAAAAGGAAGGGGAGGGCCATTCCACCAAGATGGAGGCCGATCACCTAACCAAACGGTTGGACAATTCTAATTCAGATAACAGACAAAAAAGAGATTTAAATGCATATTGGGGCACTACAGTCTACAGACGCGGATTGTTGAGTTCATCGATCAGGGTATGCCACGTAGGAAGCGATCAATCAATAATAAATAAAATATCTCGTCAATCAATATCATTTAGTGAGTTTTGTTTGAACATGACGAAAATTAACCACCACAATTATTTTCGCACCCTGCCGAAACCGAGGACTGCATCCATGATCTACCTCTCCTAAGAGCCTCCAAAGCTGGGATATCAATATTGGGGTAATTGTCTTTTTCTTTTATTTACTGACCTCAGCTCGCAGAAAACCCTGTTTTCACACACTACCATTTGCCTCATTAATTTCTCTGCACCTTCTATTAATAGAGGGCCTTGAGGAGTCCTATGCTTTATTTGATACTGCAATTTTAATGGGTTGAGTAGAGTAAATTTTGATTTATGGATGTTTGATGGTTTCGGTGCAAATGATATTAAGGCTTAGTTTAAAAAGAGTACAAATGCAAATGCAAATATGAACAGTATAAATATATACAAAATATAAGATTTTACACTCTACAAATATATTTATACTCCTACCAAACTGAGCCTAACTATAAAGAGGAGTAAAACCTGAAGCAAGAGTAATCAAGATCTGCACTCTTTTCATTTGCATTCCGATCTATTTATACTGTATCCAAATGGTGAGAAATAAAACCAACATTATGGTCCATATACTCCATAAAAATGAAAGGAAATAAAAAACAAGCTGTTCCAACTTCCAAGGGGAATCGTTGGAGACTGTCGGTTATTGCTCAAGGGGTAATGAGAATGGCGTTATAAGTCAAGGTTTTTAAAACTAAATCAGATAAAGGGTTCGGTTCTTGAGTCAAACAGTCCGATTTAACAGATGATCCGTTCTGATCATGGTTTTTAAAACCGGACCGGACCGGACAGTCGGACTGGAAAAACTGGTAACCAGTCAGCCATTCGGGTCCGGTTTTACTAGAAATCGAAAATTTGAAAAAAGCATTGAAAAGTAAAAAAAAAAAACGCTGACCCAGGTGGTCGGACCACTAAACCGTTCAACCCAGGCAGCAGTTTGTGGGTTAATATTTTTATTTTTAATGTTTTAAATAAAAAAACAAAAAATAAAATGCCAATTATATCACAATCAGCTCGAATTTTGAATACCAATCCCAGTCCCTTATTCGGTTTAACCTTTAGGGTTCCCAAGTTCCCTCCTCACTCCTCAGTCCTCTCAAGTCTCAACCCTCACATCCTATCACCTGCGGCGGCCATCAATTCTGGCATCCGACGGCGACACACACCAATGGCGACCGGCAAACTTGCAGCAGCGGTAGACGGTGAGCGACTTGCAGCAGCGGCAGACGGTGAGCGACTTGCAGCAGCGGCAGACAGCGAGCGACTTGCAGCAGCGACAACTTGTAGCAGCGGATTACCCGAGCCCACAACGGCGAATCCCTGAAGGTATAATTTTTTTTCTGATTTTTTTTTGTGATTTAATTGATTTTTTTGAATTCTTTTGGTTCATTTGTTAGGATAAGCAAGGAATATCTTAAATTTTATCAATTCAACACATTCTTCTTCTTCTTCTATCCTTCTTATTCTTCGTTTCCTATGAAAAAAATAGGGTCTCATCGTATATTTTTCTGAATTTTCTTTCTTTTTTTCCTTTTCAAAATATGTTTTGATATGAAATTTATGCTTTCTTCTCAAAATATGTTTAGATAATTTTTTTTTTCTGAACTGATATGCTTTTTTCTTCTCAAAAAACAGGTGCTCATTACATATTCTCGCTTACATATTTTTTCTATAATTTTTGGAAAATTTTCTAATTTTTTGGAACATTTTCTGTATTTTTTTGTATTTTCTGTATTTTATTATTTTTATATTTAGATATTTTTATTTTTTCATATGTTGTTCTTTTTCCTATATTTTTCTGTGTATTTTTGTATTTTATTTAAATTTCTATAGTATTTTTATTATATATAAGTATTTTTTTGTTTTTTATTTATTTATGACATCACGGGTTGAACTGCTTGACCCGGATAGTTGAACCACTGAACCGGAAAATGGTGCCCTGACCGGTTCAGTTTTATAAACCATGGTCAGAATCAATCCGTAAAACCCAAGGTTTTAAATATGGATACGCCCGATACGTCGGTAGGGGTGTATCGGGCAGTATCAGTACTTTTTACTTTTTTATTTTTTTTTCAAAATCAGTTTAGGGGGTCGGAGGTTTCTCCACCCCTTGGATCAGTCAGAACCCCGATACACCCTCTGTAGGGTGTATCAAGATGCTCCCGATATGATACATATCGGACGATGCATGTCGCTTTTTTGAACCTTGGTAAAACCAGGACTAGTTTTTAATAAAATGGACAAAGGGTACCCACTCATCAAAAAATGAAACCAAAAAAACTAGTAATCAATATCCAAATTAAAATATTCAAACATGTTGTTCGATAAGATCTCTAAATAGGTTTTTATATTTTATTTAATGCCTTCGGGAAAATTTCGTAGAGCTTGAAGTGGACTCCAGATCTCCTGCCCACAAGAACTATGCCCATCTTTACTTACAACACACTACTTTCATGCATTGAAAACATCCTCCCATGCATAATAGTACGTAGGAGGATGAGATATTCCCAATATATAGCTGTAATATAGTGTGGATAGAGTTCTTGTGGGCAGAAGATCCGGACTCGCTTGAAGTGTGGACAACTAGAGATTCTCACCCATACTTTGTATTATAACTTAATTAATTATGATGGGGCAATGACGATCTAATAATAAACCACTTGGGCAAAACAGGCATTGATACCATCTCAACTGTTCAATCTAATAGCTTAAATTGTTAGGTAAAGTCTTAATTACTGATTTAATTTTCATCTACTAAAAGATGCATATGACTGTTGGAACATGTGACAAGTGGCAAGTTATGGGAACCCAAAACTCATCCGTGGGTCCTATGTCATATACATGAGAGTCCTAGACAACCATACAACATACAAAATGGCTTTACATATGTGAACAATCTACCCAACATCCAAATAAGCTAGTTATACCTAAAAAATTACTATAATGAAACTAAATGCTAGGGTTCTTTTTGATTCATTTATAGTAAAAGAATTTTTTTTTTCAGTTGAAATATTTTAGATTTTTAGTTATTATTTCTATTTCTTTCATGGAGAAAAATTTTATTATTCATAAACTAATTTGTCAATGTAAATAATAAGGAAAACAAACATTTCCTATCATGAAACATATAACTCACATATTTCAGCCTGGAAAAATGTTCATCCATCCTATATATATATCTATTAATAGGAAATGGGTGCTTTCTGTATACAGGAAATGGAATCTATTCGTTCAAGTAGGTCTCACGTGAGAACAATGCAGATTCGTAATAAGGGCAGTATTTCCTTTTAATTATTGCTATTACCAATTATAAATAATTACTGTTATTATAAATAACAGTAATTACTGTAATTTAATAATTACTGATTATTACAGTAATTTAATAAATATATAATTAGTGATTATAATTAATAATTACCATTATTATAAATATTGTTAATAAATAGATATTTACTTTAATTTTATTTTAAATTAAAATTATAAACACTGTTATTAATAAATACTGTTAATAAATTTAGTAATTATTGTTATATTAAAAATAATTAAAATGTTCTTAAAAGTATTGTTATTGATTATTTAATAAAATATTATAATTACTGACTATTACTTATAAATATTGTTAATTTAATTTAATTTTGGTAATTATTAATTTAATGAATATTGTTAATAAATCCTATTCATAAATTTAATAATTGTTGTTATTAAAAATAATTAAATAGTATTATTAAAACTATCATTAGTGATTATTTAATAAAATATTATAATTACTTACTATTATTGATAAATGTTAGTAATAACGTTCTGACAACTGACAATTCGACCATCCAGTTCGAACGGATTGCCCATTTTGACAACAAAAATTACAAGCAAAATATTATGGAACCGTTCTGGCCACTAGTTTTTGGGTCGACGGTTCGATCATCCGGTTCGAACGGATAGTCCGTCTGACAACAAAAATTATAGGCAAAAATTGAATGTGTGAGGTTCATTAAGTAGTATCATACGTGTTATGTCATTCGAGCGTGTGACTCATACGACCTGAAAACAGAATCGTTCTGGCCATCGTTTTTTGGGTCGACGATTTAGTCATTTGTTTCGAATGGACAACCCGTTCTGACAACAAAAAATTACAAGTAAAAAATTACGGGACTGTTCTGGCCACCAGTTTTCGGGTGGACGGTTTGATCGTCCGGTTCGAATGGATGACCCATTCTGACAACAAAAATTACGAGCAAAAATTTGAGTGTGTGAGGTCCATTAAGCTGTATCATATGTATTATGTCATTCGAGCATGTGACTCATACGACTCGAAAATGGAACCATTTTGGCCACCGACTTTCGGGTCAATGGTTCGACCATTCGATTCGAATAGATGGCCCATTCTGA